GAAGGGACTTGTATCGCTGAAGTTCCTCGGAAAGAAACTCTACCAGAAATTAACAAACATGCAGATATGTAACAGTATCTTACATCATGCCATTTGCGAGTTAAGTTGTACAAAAATGTCAGAAGCTAAGAAATAAGCTTAACTTGATTGTGAGGTAACAAAGCAGCAACCATAAAGTTAATGTATGGTCTGTACTAGCCACATTATGGGAAGACTAGTAAATTAGAAACAATTTACTTTTACTCACTCACAGAAGATTAAGAGTTGTTATTAGTTATATAACCTACTCTCTAAACAAACACAACTTAAAAAACACTCAATATTGAGTTTTGAACTTCAAGATTTAAACGTTTCTGTAAAGTCATGTTTTGACATCAAACATACTTTTATATACCAGTGTAGTAAGAGACACGTTATTAATAACTGACTGATGCTCTGTTTGTGTGTTCATTTAAGATATTTATATTCTTATGTTTGTACGGTTGTGGAATAAAAATTAATTAATCAAACATTTTATTTGTTTAGAATTTAAAACAGTCAAATGTACAATATTTAAAATAACCATAATTTTATTTTTCTTGTTCAACTGATGGGTGAATTCTCAAAAACAAAGTAGAGGTACTGAGCTGGGTGAAATGGACCTTTTTTGAAAAAGAAAAAAAAAAATCTACGTGTAAACGTAATAAATGACAGCTCAAATAAGTACCGCCTCAAAAAATAAGTTCCTGTACTCAGTACCAGTGAGTACTGGCAGAATTTTACACCTGGTTCAACTATAGAACAAAACTGCTTCTTTTTAACACCTGATCTTAGTTTTCATTAGAGTCTGAAGTTTTCTTGCTGGAATTCAATACAACTTTTTCACCAGCATGATAGGGAGGAAAATGACAGAAGTAAAACTCATACTAACTCTTGGTATTATTAAATGCTGACAGTTATGTTTTTTACTCTTTGGAGAATAACTGAATCATGTCCAATCTATTCAGGAAATTTTGTTACTCAAAACAAGGAGAAATGGATAATATGAAAACCAAAAGGTTGTCTAATACCTTTACAGTACAAAGTGTTGAAAATGTATGCTTGAAGAACAGGAGAGAACAATTCTCTCATAATGCGCAGTTCTGGTGAGATGACACAAAGTTTCCTGATTTCCATGAAGATACTAGGTAAAGTTATTCATTTTTGTGCTCTTTTCCTGAAAAGTAATCCACTCAGAGACTGACTAACCATCAATAAATAGCTTTATTTTTATAGCAAGATACTTCTACCCTAACAATACTTCATTAATTTTGACTAGAGCACACAGGAGGTGAGTGAAATGTTCCACTATTTGGAATCAATTTACACCTTCATACACTCCTGTACAGGACTATTTAAATTATTCATAAATCTTTCTTTCTTGCTATGGTACAGTAAAACACATTTAAAACAAATGTTGATTTAACAGCATCTATATCTTCCAACAACTTAACTAACTTTCAACTTGAACACAATCTTAACTTGATGGTAACAAATTAAAATTCTCAAACACTCAACGATTTTAAGAACACAATTTAAACACTTTCTTCTCAGACTGTCAACAGTATCAAAACAGATTCCCTACATTTCAACATTAATCACGTCATCAGCAGCAATAGTAATAGCTTTGTGAGCAGTTTATAAAAAGGTCATGAATTCAGCAAATATCACAGCTTGGCTAAACAGACAAACCTACAATCTTCATGCAATTCCAATTTAACTACACTACTAGGATGTCTACAAAATGTGGTAAAAAGTAAGCTAAGCCTAATATATGATTTGAAAACTTACAAAGTATATAGATTAACGGAAACCATTTTAATTTAGTTTAAACTGAACCAGATTTGAATGCCACACTTCAAGTATATATTTGAGGTAGAGCAACGTAAATTAGAGAAGTAAGATCACACTATAACATTATAAAATCACATACTTGACCTATGATGCAAGTAATGACTGGGTGTTTATGTTAAATTCTAAACATCTTCTAAGATACTAGAAACAAAATATCCACAACTTTCCAGTGTTTAACATTGCCTTCACATTATAATATAATTATAATGTATAATTATAATTGTAATATTAGAGGATCACATGCTGTTATTGTTCGATATCTGTATATTCCACTATTAAGTAAAGTTCCTTGTAATATTAGAGGATCACATGCTGTTATTGTTCGATATCTGTATATTCCACTATTAAATAAAGTTCCTT